GCCCCTTTCATGTCGTCCCTGGGCATGTGGCTTTTGTCTTGGCAGCTCTGTGTGGGCTCCCCACCTGGCGTGTGGGTCTGCAGCACAGACATGCTCCTCACCGTGCCCTCGGCACCAGGTGAGTGGGTGCCAGCCTCACCTCTAGTGCCCAATTCTGCTCGGGATGGATGTTTGGGCTTGCAATGAGATGGCTGAGGCTGGATGCTGCCATCACCACCTCTGCTGTGGGCCTGGTTTTCAGGCAGTAGTGCCCAGTGTGGGTACATGCTCCGCCCCAACGGGCGCCGGGCTCTGTCCCTCTCCCCAGGGATCAACTGGGACGGCTTCCAGGGTGTCAAAGTGATCGCGGTGCCCGGGAGCCAGGCATACGCCAGGAACCACGGGATCTACCTCGCTGATGAGCAGGTTGGGAGCAGCTCCTCCTTCGAGGGGCGAGGGGCGTCCCTTGGGGTCCCCAGCCCTTCAGTCCTGTGGGTGCTGAGGTCCCTGCCATGGCTGCTTGGCTCGGTGCTCCCCGAGCAGCTTACGAGGTGGTCTGGCTCCCAGGGGCTGGTGCGTGATATCATCTACAAAGGCTCAGAGGCCCAGATCCGGCAGTGCGCGGCGCCCGACGGCACCGTCCCACTGGTATGGCGCAGCTTTGGGTGCTGGTGGCCCTGCCAGACCCGTCCCTCGTGTCACTGTGGCTGTGGACTGTGCCTCGGCAGGTCTGCGGGGTCGTTTTCTTCTCCTCGGATGCCGCCGAGCAGCTTCTGGCCACCCATGTCATCCCTCCTCTGGATGCCTGCACCTACATGGGGCTGGACTCGGGGGCCCCACCCATGCAGGTGACAGCCCTGGATACATCACGGGGTCTCTCACCCCACGGGTGCCGCTGCTGGGTGGCTCTATAGGGCCTGTCTGCCCCCACGTCGCTGGATTTGGGGGTTGAGGGAAGCACCCAGCAGTAGGAAGGGGGTGGTCAGGGTGGCCACACCCAACAGCTCCATTCTCCCCAGCTCTCCCTCTTCTTCGACATCGTGCTGTCCATGGCAGGGGGGGTGACGGAGGAGGAGTTTGTCAAGGGTGGCAGCGATGCCAGCGTGAGGAGCGCCCGCTCTGTGCTGAGGACAACTCTGGGCACCTTCCCTCTTAGCATGGGTGAGCCGCAACCCGTCCCTGGGTTTCTCCCCAAAACTGCAGGTCCCCAAGGTCTTCTCTGCCCACCCCTTCAGCCAGGGATGTTCAGCCTGATGCTCCTTGGGTCAGGTGGTGTTTTGCCAATGACCAGG